GTACGGATACAGGTGTGCGTGGGTGCGCCTGTATATGTATATATGTGTTTGTGTAAGGTACGCAGTACGGTATGTTTGTGCGTCTTAAAGCAAGGTAAGGTAAGGTACGGTAAGGTAGGTAGGTGTGTGTGTGTGTGTGTGTGCGTGTGTGTGTGTGTTATTCTGGTGTAAAAGATTCGAGTTGGTTGGCTACGTCTAATGATATCGGAAAGCACATAAGTCAAGGTAGCAGCAGCGTTGCGCATGTCGTGGAAACAGACAAAATCGAAAAAAACTTGAGACGACACATAGTCCTTTCCCCTTTTTGGTGTTCCCTCCCGTGCAAGTATCAGAATAATAAGGAGGAAATAGTCAAAATTTTAACGGAAATGCAGCAGCATAAAAAAATAAAAATAAAAAAGAGCCGAAACAGAGCAAAAACGAGCTCCAGTACGGAGTATCCTCCAATGTAATGGTGCTGTCATTCAAAACGGGGGCTAGATGGATATTGGAGCGGGCCGTGGAAGTTGGAACGAATGGAGAGCGGGTCAAGGGACGAGGGTGGCACTGGGGGGCCGACTATGAAGACTCGAAGAAAGTGGGAGGAAAAGAGGAGATTCTGGAAATGACAATATCCCTAGGGACACACACATAAGTTACCAGAACAATCCCAGTCTCACACTTGTTGATGCTTTCCAACACAATGGAAGATCAATGATCGAGAGGGTTCTCGTTCATGAACCTGCCCTGCCGATGGATTGCTGGTGGAGCTTTTATGCAACTTCAAACTTCATACTTATAGAACTAAACCCTGCCAGGTGCTTTGGCTTGGGCTGCTGTTGCCTCTCTTACTTGAGTACCGGTACCTAAGTCAAAGGTAGGTACATGTAGGTACCTTAACCCGTGGACGGCTCCTGCCACTTGCTCTCCGCCAGCTTCAGGTCCAGGCAGGTCCAACTTCCAGCCCATTCTTTCCTTAACTTCTTGATCCCCGGACGGAGTGCTGAGGCTGTGTAAGGTAGTCACCGAGCAGGAACACACAACTTTGCTCCCATCAGCTCTTGCCTCCCGATTCTCAAGCCCCTGTCTGCTGACCTCACCACCACCACACCTTGCTTACCTACGTGCCTACCCTAAGGTAAGGTAGCTTTAGCTTGCAGCAGCTCCCATCGGCGTCTTCCCGCCATCATCTCAAGTTTCAATGTACGCAGCTCGCTACTCGCTGACATGTCCCATATTGTCCTGCCTGCCGTGCCAGCTCCGTCTGAGTCACTCCGTCGACACGCTAACGATCCTCTGCTTTCTCCAAAGCCCAGAGAGCAACCTTTTCCAACACCCTGAACCCTGGCTGCGGCGTAATCCACGAAGAAGCCAATCCCCGATCCAGAGGAACATGTTCTGGCGGCGGCTACTGCGCTCTATCTTACCGATACAAGCACCTACTACCTAATACCCAATTGCCGTGCTAGGTTTCCTACCGAGTGAATAACTTTGGTCCGGATAACGTACCTCTACTAGGCATCTGAAAAGGGCCGCGATATCACTCTCACTAGGTAAGCCAGCGTTCCAGGGGGCGAAATACCACTGACTAGATTTTACGACCACAGCTCCGGTATCGCATGCCCATCTTCATCCGATATCGACCGTCTTCGCCAAAGTTGCCTCTTCGCCATCCCCCCGCTCTCTCTCGGTCACACGATACACAAAGGCCGTGGGGATTCGGGAGCCATGAGCTGGACACCAAGATGTCCTGCGCCTGCCTCCTTGTCGCGAAATTTACAGTGCCCCGTGCTTCCTCAGAAACCCCACATCGTTGCAGCAGCAAGATATCCCCCGGTCCACTACATGCCCGTGGCGTCCACCATCTTTTGGGTGACGACAAGCATTCTCTATCAGTTATCGTCACAAGAGGGGAGGGAGGAGGTCAGTCATATTCATCAATGAACATTCGTTCTGCCGGGAATCGAAATCCAGACGAGAGACTTGTGTCTTTCTGCTGCTCAGAGCCTTCACAACCAGGCCTGTCCCCGTCACTTGTTTCCCTGGTCGGAGTTATTGTCGTCACTTTCTTGCATCTATTGGCTCCGTCGAATCCCAAATACACGGCAGAGACATGCGCGCAATGCTTCAGAGACAGAATACCTAGGTAAACTCGCCAAAGAGAGACATCGGTGCCATTCTCTCAAGAAGGCCATGCAAGGTACGCGCCTACGGTGCCCTCGCACTGCAATTCCGCGCCCTAATCGCCTTCTATTGTCCAATGATGTCTCTTGACAGCCTCGGGTTCTGTTGCGTTCCGACTCAGGTTTCTCCCAACACATACCTGATATCGTGTCCACCCCTTCCCGTGCCACCGAGATCTTCGCCAAAAAGCAGGGAACAATCCATGCCCGATGGCAACTTGTCGATTTCCCTCCCGCTGTTCCCGGTCTTCCACCCACGCACTCACTTCAACACTTGCGGCTTGCCCTGCTTGCCGGCCGGCATCTCCGTCTTTTCTTTTTGTTGTCCGGCCCGGGCCAGGAACCACGGCTATCCACAGTCCATCCCCTCAAGTCAAGACAGTGATACAACAGATCTTGTCTCACCATCAGCCTCGATTTTGAGTAACACGCCCATCTCGTTGGAAACAAATTACGAAATGAGCAATGCGAGATGCAAAGGAAAAACAAACTTCTTATTGGCTCTCCTGTTCCTGTTGGCTACCTTACCTTGCGTCCCAAGCTTCCGGCTAGCGCCAGCGGCGCAAAATGTCCATCCCATGGATCCCGCCCCGTTCCCGCTCAGGGGCCTTCCATGATGCTCTTCGCAGATGGGCGCTTCTTACCTGGGCCATGCCGCCGTATGTCAACTTTAAAAGGGGCTATCAACCAGTGAACCGCACACGCACCGGCGCGCTCCACGGGCGGGTTCGGGCTCGGGCTCAGCTTTCGGCCATTTGGCTTTTCGCGTTTCGCATCTCCCTGCATCCTGCATGCGGGGAGTCCTAGAAGAGATCTGCTGCATGTTCTAGAAATCTTGTGGGATCTGTTCTGCAACGGAGCACACAGGCTTTCTTTTTTTTGGGCGGAAGTGAGTGCTAATCCATTTATCCAGATTACCAACCCTTATCTTGTCGCTTTTCACATCAGCTAGGCCCCTGAAGATCAACGAGGGCACGAGAGACATTGACTTGCATCGTATTCACTCTCATGTGTTTCCCAAAATAACCGACTTTGGCAGTGGTTACGCGCCACCAAGGCACGAACACCAGCGTCGACGCCTGCACCAGCGCCAACGCCAACGCCAACGACGTTGGAGCTAGGAACCCAGCCGCCCTCGGCGCCAGAGACAGAGCCAGAGCCAACTATTGATCTTGCAAGTCCGTCATCAAGCCAAGGAGGCTCCACAGCACCAACCCGTGCAGCAACCGCCAACTCTGTCAGGTCTCTTCCTCAGCAAACCAAACCCCGCCTTGAATGGACAGCTCCCGCGTCGGCGCGTTAACCGCCTAAGCTTCGACAGGCAACGTTGGGCATCATTCGCCCAGTGCGACACTCATGCTCTTCGTCATCAAACAAATCCTGACTGCGCCCCCAAAGGCTATCGAAATGACATAGGGAGCTCAGCGTTCGCTGTGTGTCAAGGTCCGCGTACCTCACGTCTTCAAGCAGACCGAACCGGACATATAGAATGAATCCGACGATGCCAGGGTCACCGGGTTCGCTTTGGAGCTTACCTTCCAGCTAGGCACATGAGGTAGGTTACGGGGGTTTCGACTGATCGGATCTGTTCGTTCGATTACGTGTCCCAATTCTGTGAGAACGATTCTGAGAACGAGAACGAGAATCAGAATCACAATCAGAATGGGCAACAAAGTCTCTGTCAGCTCTGGCTCAATGTGATCCGAACCTCTGTAGGACCCCTACTATCGGTCCTAATTTGACGCATAGTTTGCGGCATGGGTAGTATTATGCAACCACGTTCCCGGTACACTTACAAACGCCACAAGGTTAGAACTGCTTCTACATCGGCAGGTCTCCGACTGGCCTCTGTGTGTGAGGATATCGGCTTCCAGGCTGTTGAGTGGTGTTTCTCACGATTTCGGTCCACGTTACGTTACCCGACCATCGTCAAATCGATTCCCGGCATATCACTTTGCGGACACAGCCAAAGGAACCTGTTGCGTAAAGCAATTGGCCACAACTAAGCTTACTGCCCGTAGGTGAGCTTCACCAGTGTCATGTCTGACCGCTTCACTCACAGTTTCTTGCCCAAATGTTGTCTCTTGGTCCCTGTGGGGCGCTTGAAAAGTGAGAATATGGTAGAGAGTCAGGAAATGCCAGAACGAGAGCAGCTTGGAAGATCTTGCTGGAAACTTACATGGGTGGCTTGCCGTGTAAGCCTACCCATTTAGTATATTGTCACTCCTTGGTAAGTTCATGAACCACTTTCTTGCCCATCTATTGATCAAGTTCAGAGACGAGCCTTCCGAGGTTCTTGAGAGAAATTGCATCCACTAGGTGCTGAGCTGTGACTTGAGCTGAAGCCAACCAAGTCACGCCCATCCAGCCAGCCCTCTCCTTTCTGGCTGCTAGGAGCCAGAAAGAAACCCTCGCCTGTTGATCGAGATCTTTGTATAAAGACAACACATGATAAACTCCTTCTTCTAACGTTGAAGATCTTACAGGTCCCTCAATACATCATCAACCAGCCGGGTTCCCCCCCCCCCCCCGCAAAACGTCATATGTTGCAAAGATTTCTTTCCTCATTTCTAGTTCAGAAGCGTTGCCCAATTGGTACTCCAACGCACTGCCATCAATCAAGATCAGATAACCAGACAAAAGAAAGAAAACAGAAGGAGACGTACACAAGCCGAATCAGTGGTGTCATGCATCGATTATGGAATTTGTGAAGCAGCTAGTGCTGCGTAACATACACTAAACATATGATCCAGGTTTGAGAATGCATCTCTCCCAACAGAGGGAACCGTACCATGAACCAAGGACTTGTATACTTGCGTATACCGAAAAGAGGCAAAGAAACAAAAGTCTTTGAAGCCGGAGTGATGGTCCGTTCCAAGCGCCACAGTGTTACAGATCGATCGGGGGAGCTTTGTTGAAACTTCAAAAAGAGGAAACAAATCGACGTGCCCAACATCGGAGACAACTCCTCCAAATACCTCGAATCAGAGACCCTGCATTAGATTTACCAAGGAAACAAGAGTCACGCGAATGTTTGCATTTCAGCCACACCAATCTTTTCTTGTAATATCGCTTGTTTCATTCTAGCTCAGAAAAGGTGGAACGGAGGGTGTGATGGGCTACAGCCCTGCCACAGGAGCAAGATAAATATATCTCCCAGGGGATCTAGAGATTCAAGACAAGAGATGTAGACACGCGAGCGATCGTTCCTTTTTCCCCATCCTATCCCGACGCCGACGACGCACAACAGTGAAATTCGATCTTGGGGATATTGAGAAGCCTGGCTTGGAAAAAGCCAAGCCGTATAACCCGATCTCGATATCCGGCGCCACGCGCGTGCTACTCTGATCTACCATCAACCACGATGCCCGCAATCTCATGAGCGGGGTATCAATCGTAGCTCCAATTCCTAGGATACAGCCTTTGATAAGCTCAAGGAGGACCAGACCGGATTCGATCACTTCTGCATGCTCCCGATAATCTCCCTCTGCGCCGCGCGGTCCCTACTAGCCTCGCTAAGGCTGCCCACGCTCCGCAGGTCGCCGACGACGTCCTTGGCCTTGCCAAAGTAGACCTCCTGCAGCAGGTTTCGCATCTTGAGCTCCATGTCCTCAACGAGCCGTCCCACGTTGGCAATGTGACTCTCGTCGCCGTCGACGGGGAGCTCCTGCTCAACCTGCCGCGTCATGTTGCCGCTGAGGTCCATGTCGCCCAGGGCGTTGGTCGAGGTGGAGAGCGAAAGGATGACGGTCGATGTGAGCTTGTACTGCGTCGTGCGGCCGCGCTCAATGGCCTCGAAGACGTGGATCGAGTCCCATACGCCCTCTGCGCTTCCGCCGGGGGTCGCGGCTGTGATTGGGAAGTGTCTCGTCAGCTAAAGGGTCCAATCCCCGATCACAGGCAGGAGCTCACATTTCTTCAAGAGAACCACACCGGCAAATCCATCATCTAGGTTCCAAAAGTATACGCTGCTCACACCACCCTCGTAGTACAGATCCCGGTACACGTCAAACGCCTCATTGGCCTTGACCTCCATCTTGCGGACCCTCTCGCTGGGGATCGCGCCTTCGCCGGCGCCCTCGCTACCACCGGCACCGACGCCGCCGACGCCGCCCTCATCCAGAGGCGGGTCGAACTGGTTGCTCCACGGGGAGCGGTAGCTGTCGCCGTCGCGGTTGTAGTCGCAGAGGAGGTAGTCGCGGCCCGTCTGCTTACAGCGCTTGACGGTGAGGGGTTGGTCGACGGACGAGAGGAGGTCTTCCGTCAGATCCGGTGCGAGGGAAATGATTGCATTCAGGTGGTCGGTCGTGTGTTTCGGGTTCAGACGGCGGAGGAGGTCGCTAGAACGGGGAGACACGCGGCAGAGGTTAGAGATGATTTGCTTTGATGCATGACGTTCAAGGGGTCAGGGCTGCTGCGGTCTTACAGAGCCGAGTCGAAAGGGTCGACGGAGGCCATGATGGGCTCTTTTTATGCGTGTCTACCGTTGGAAAAGGTTGTCCTTAAGCTTGTTCGGAGTCGTTGGCGATGAAAAGGTGGCGGTGTCGATTGGATTTGGATGGTCTTTGAGGTTGGGGTGTTAGCGGAAGGTCTGGCGGGGTAGACGGTCCTTAGCCCCTGGGTGTACTTCCCCAGGACCCCACCGCCAGGGAGTTCTGGGCTGCACCTACCACCTCATGTTGAAGAGGCATGGAGCTACAAAAAGGCACGTCATTATTTGAGGTACCTCACCCACCTACCCATTTACCTAAGGTAGGTAGGTAGCTGAACAAAGGGAGCCAGTTCTTGGAGCTATTGCTACCTTTCGAGTCAGCACAGCTCTCCACTGTATCTGTAGCTCCTGGAGCTCTTGATGTTGGACAACGGCAGTCACAGTGAACAAATGAGATGTCTCTAGTCAATCAAGCAAGTCTCATCAATCATGACAATGGCTGATGCAGAGTAAAAGAGGATAAGGTAAACATTTGACCACAAACCATGTAAGCTCTAGGAAACTGCTCGCAAGACTCTGGTCTCCAAATTTGGCCGCTCTGCTGGCCATATTCGCCTTTTTCGTCCCCTTTTGTTGGCGTCCTTCTGTCTGTCTCTTGAGAATATACCAAGACCGATTCCTTATGCCAACCTCACTCAGTTGCGAGATGAACCCCCCTCCATTCGCCAACGCCTCGCGCGAAAAATAAAACTGCACTCCAGCCGCACCCGAATAACCACTCTTCTTCCTCGAGACTCGCCTTCAGCTGTCCAGGTCTCGCTCCGCCTGTCCAGACCTGTCCTGTCTCGTCTCCTGCAACGTGCCTCTTGGCATCCATTCCTCTCCCAATACTTATCTTCAGGGTCGGCTTACGAACCCCAGTCATACTGGAAATCGTCATAAGCAAAACAGCAGCACTTCCTAAGTCACCGCAAAGCGGTGTGTTGAATAAAGTGCCTGCTGGAATAAGTACATCGAGAAGTGAAGCTCGACACCCCATCGTCGCGCTGGCGGGTTGTGAAATGACCCCTAATTCAAGAGATCGATCGATGATTTGGCAGCCATGTAGAGGCCAATTATTTAGCTGATTCCCACTCCGCAAACAACGCAGAGCAGTGGCTCAGTCCACACCTTCTCGCCTTCGGTGACGTTCTCTCGAAGGTCCCTAATCTCGATCGTCGATGGGGTCATGTCCATCAAGATCCTCGCCTCGAACAAGCCTTCCCACGGCTTTGCGTCGGTGGAGGCTGGCTTCTTCTTGAAGGATCTCACCTTGCGTGACGACGCCGCTGCCGACACCTCGGGTACAGTTGGTGTGGCAGGAGTTGTGGGTGGTTGCGAAACGCGCTCATCGACAACGGCAGGCGTTCCCTCGGTTACCGACTGTCCGTTGGTCTCTTCCAGCGCATCGCTCGGCTTGGCATCGATTGTTTGCTTCACGTCGGCACCGCTCTCAGTAGGGCTGAGGGGTTCGTTTACACCGTCATCGAGCGGCTTTTCTTCCTTGACCTTGTCGCTCTCAGCGACCGACGCTATTCCATCTGTCGGGGGTTTCGCGGTGAAATGGGGCTTGTCCTTGCCAAGTCGCTCGTATGTTCGCATCAGGGTTTCTTCTCGAAGACAGTGCTCGTGTAGCCACTTTCCGCATTCCTTGTTGGAGCACCCGACGAGGGTCTTGTCCGGATTGGCGGGCTGTCGGCATTTGCAGGTGCGTTCAACTGACTGTATGACGGGTTAGCTACAATCGCCTGGTCTAGGCTGCGAGTATTTTATGCTTACCGAGAGCTGCTGGGTGCGACAGTCAAAGGCCTGACGCCAATAGAGGGCCTCCTGAATCTCGTCGTCGTTCTCTTCGATCCATTGCTTGACGGTGGCGGGCAATGTCACACTGACGACGTTGATGATATCCACTGCATCTCGTCAGTACTGAGATCACTGTTTAGTGAAGCATTAAACCTACTATGGTTGGAAGCAATCAGCTCGTTGTGGCCGTGGTACGGCTGACGACCTCCCGTGTATCTCTTTCCTTCCATCGTGCCCTCCGGCAGCTCCTCCGGCCAGTACATCCAGTATATGCGCGCATAGACGTGGTGTTCATCACTAGCGCGAATCTCCAGAATGCGCGCTACCCAGTCGTCTTCGGACTTGGACCGCTTCAGTACCTTCTCGGGCTCGTTGGCATCTGTCGAGCCTTCCGCTGCGGCCTTTTGGCGTTGGACTGTCTGGTCGTTTGCGACATAGATAAAGCCCTCACTGAAATACTTCGTCCCGTTTACTAGCGACCGTCACTGTTAATGCAAGACCATCACAGATGGACTATTCTTGAACAACTTACGGACGAAGCTATTGTATCGCGTCATCTCTAACCACTTCTTCTGCGGGTGCACGTGGTATTCCAAGTCCAGAACATCATTAGCGCTCTTGCCATTGAAGTCGCCAGAAGGGGAGAAGGGAGAGAGCTGCTTGGAGCTCTTCTTCCCGTCCTCCTCTTCTTGCTCCGGTTTCCTCCTCTTCTTGGATTTCTTCTGTGCCTTGATGTCGGGTTCGGCGTAGGTGATGCTAAAGGGGCATTCGGCCTTGTTTTCCTCGACCTCGGCGCGAGGGCGCTTGCGCGAAGTAGACATGATTGGTGTAGTGGGAGGTTCGGAGTCGCAAACGCGAGTGCGGTGATGTTATCGCGGGTATGAAAGTGTTCGGAGTGATGCGATCTCGATTGATGGTGTCCGAGACGAATGACGTTGGTGCAAAAAGCTCGCTGGGATGTCGCGACCGAAGGGAAGGAGCACGGGGTGGCTGGAAGACGAATGGGTCGCCCAAAGGACCGGGGGTGGTATGAAGCTATGTGGCGAGCGCGCGGTCCGAGATGGGCGCTCTTTGTTGACTTTGACAAGAGTGCAAATACTCTGGCAAGCCTGAAGATGGTCCAGGCCAGATATCGACGACCAATGATGGCCACGATGCGCAAAATTGGGAAAATCGCGGGTTGAGGATCTGGCAATTCCGGGACGAGGAGCGGAGCGCGTTCTTGCTACCCAGCGAAAAAAAGGTGGCGCAGGATGATTATTCTGCTGAGTCACGTGAGCGCGGCATACCTCCGACGAGCGTCTACTGCCACCACCCACCCACCTCAGCGACCCAGAGGACGGACCAGCAACCACGATGCGGGCAGCAGGTGTGCGGAGTGCCGTGCCACAAATGGACCAGGCGTGTCACGTAAGCACAGCATACGACAGGAGCTAGAACCATCCGCGCCTACCAAAATCCTGGTCTGTCTCCGAGGTTCCCACAACAAGCGCCGACACTTATTTTTCCGTTTTCTGATTGGCTATATACCAGTCTCGTCGCTTTACCATGATTTTTTACTATAACTACAGTGTTCGTGTCTCATGCGATATGCCGTTTTCCTCATATAACCTTGAGCTTGGTGGGTGGTTCTAAACGATAGAGGTTCCATCATCGTTCAAATCAGCAGTCAATCACTCTTCCCGAGTATTCTGACGCAAATATGAACAGAAGGGTGGAGGGGTCAAAGAGCAACAAAGAAAACAGGGTATACCACGGAGGCGGCGAGGATGTTAGAGGCGGTACAGACGACAACGGAAACAACGACAAAGTCGACTGTTCGTTACTTGGCGCTTTTGATTGAAAAAAAAATATCGCTAACTTGATTTACCTACGCCGTTGCTATGCAGATGTGTTCGGTGATGGGGGCTCAATCACCCCTGGTCCGGTTATGCTCGTGTTCGACTTCTTCCTCCTCATCATCATAGGCACTGAGAATCGGGCGGTCGTCGCTGTCCTCAGTCTCGCTGCCGATTTCGCCCTGTAGACTCTTGAATCCCTCAATCGTCTCTGCAAGTTTCTGGCCCTCCCGTTTGCCCCGCTCCACGTTCACACTCCAGATGAGAGGCGCCGGAAGCCCAACCAATGCCGCCAAGAACCAAAACGCCGGCCGGATATCACCAGACTGATCAATAATGGCTCCGACAATTGCAGGCCCAAAAACACTCGAACCTTTGTCGGAAGCAGCGTATAGAGCGTAAAAGGCTGCTTCGCTTCCCTCGGGGATCAGCTCGCCGTACAGCGATCTGCAATACGAACTCAAGCCTCCCAACACCAGTCCGTACACGGCAGCTAGGGGATACATTTCCCACGGTTGCTGGAGTCCGATAACGCCCCATCTCTGCACAATCGGCAAATATCCGAGAAGTCCGTAGATCGGAATGAGCTCGAAGAGACCGATACAGACAAGGATTGTCTGATGTGGCTTCAGATGGAACTTGCGTGAAATGAAGGCCCAGCTGAAGGCACCGATAACACCGGCTATAGTGGAGATCACATTGATCATACCCAAAGCCCAAGGCTTCATGTGGAGTTGCGTTTTGGCGAATAATATGGCCGTGGAAGACGTCGTTGCAATCGCGTCACTAACCAAAAACCATGCGCATAGAAACAGAACGATGTCTCTCAAGCGACGAGCCAGCCGGACAGTGTTGAATAACGATTTCCAGGCCATAGCCACATAGGTCGGCCACGCTCGGATTCCTTTGCCCGACGTGATGGGCATTGGTGGACCTGGCCTAGGGCGGAGCCACATGGCAGCAGGGATCGTGAAGACGGCCTGTAAGACGGTCAGTAACGGTGGATAATGCGCCGAGGCGACGGGAATGAGATAGAGAGAGGGGATTCGTTACATACCCACCAAAGACCGCAAAAAGACAATGCGACCCTTTGCGACCAGGTAGTGTTTTTCAGTGCAATCACTATGGCGATAGCAACACACTGCACGAATAGGCCGGCAATATAGCCAATGCCAATTCCCTTGGCGGAAATCTGAGTGGACAGCTGGAGCTCGACCGAAGTAAGCTCCTCGTGAGTAGCTTTCCGAACCAGAGGGTAACCTCCGTTTCCGTTTCCGTTTCCATGCCCACCGAGTAAGGGTGAATGCTGGTCTTCAACCTCGGCAGCGGCGGAATCTTCGTCAAAGGAAGAACCATTGAGAGGTCGCGATTCCAGGTCCGAGTGTCCCAAGTCGGGAGTGTGAACAGTCTCGGAGGCAATCACTTCCGGATGATGCCGGACCAATAGCGGTAAGAATGAGTTGAGGAGCACGAATGAGGCGCCAAAACATGTGTTCGAAACGATAGCCAGCAGAGCACCGAGGAGGTAGGTGGTCTTGTTGACAAAGATATAGGCCATGACGGAGAAACTTCCAACCCAGGCGAACGTGAGCAAAAGCTTCTTTCTCGAGTTGCCATGATCTGCGGCACTGCTGACGCTCACAACGAGGAGAACCTGCAGCAGGACGCTGATGGAGAACGTGTACATGGCGAAACTCGCCGTGTTGATCTCGATACCCAGAGGATACACGACGCATTGTCCATCAGTTTTGTTTTTCGAATCGCTCGTACCACATGGGGTTGTTCGATCAGACAGTAGGACGCCATTTTCGCGGGCGAGGGTCTCGAGGAGGATTGGGATGAAAGAACCTGGGCATCGTGTGGTGTCAGCGCAACGAGTTCGGGGCGGGGTGCGCGGCAATGCTGTGGCGCCAGCATCTCGAGCTGTCCAGGCTCCACAGCTTGATTACTGTCTCGCGATGAATGTCACTGCTCGAGTAAGGGAGTGGTAGACTGTGACGACTTACCGATAGCTATATTCAGTCAGCGCATGCACACACATCCAGATTCATGGACTGGAAGCTTACCACAGATGACATAGGTTTCGGCAGCAAAGGCGTAGGCATACCAACCAGACAGCTCTTTCTGGCTCGTGGGCCGAGTGTCTTCGCCTTTGTAACGACCTGGGCCGTGAAGGAAACCGTCACTACTGCTGCCGCTCATTCTGTCGAAGTCGGAATCTGTATCGGAACGTTCGTCATCGGCCTCAAAGTCGGAGGTGAAGGAGCGAAAGGAGCGTTTTGACAGAGTCGAAAGACGCGACCATAAGCGTGGTGCAGGTGGTGGTCGAGCGTGTTGCTCTTGTCTTGGAACCATGGCGGCTGACACGGGTAGGCCGCAGGTGTGGGCGCAGCTTTACTGGATGGGCAAGGTCGGACAGCTGACTTCTGTGCCTGTGCGGGCCTGTCACCTTGTCTCACCGGACGGATGCACTCCGGTCACAGCACGCAACCAGAACAAGGTCCAGATGGCCCAGAACTACCAGAACTGGAGAAATGCCTCTTTCCCGTTTCTTCCGTCTCTCGCAACTTACAGCTGCCTTGAGTTTAGGCTGCACTGCTGCAGAAGGACCCGCGGAACCTGCCAACATCTGTTGAGCATCTCACTTCCGACGAAGTACGGAACACAAAGTACCTTTACCAGGGGAAGTTGACTTACCAACCGGGCAGGTAGGTAATGCAGTCAGATAATGCGACCGCGGAATTCCAGTGCCAATGCGGATTGCGGGTGCAGATGCGGGTGCGGCTCGGGCAAGGCACCCAGCACTGAAGCGTCGTACTCGTCGCAAGTGCTAGGCACCTCGCCAAAAGTGAGAGCCGAGTTGATGACGGGCTTGTATTCGGACCCCGCTGATGCCGCAGCTGAGTCGAACCACTCGGTGATTTTCCACTGTCCTGTTACTGTTGGCTGTGGTAGCAGCCTACCCAATCTGTTTTCCGAGGGCACGTCAATGGAGTATTCGCGTGTGAGAGCCTGTCGATTCCGAATACAGGGTGCTGGCCGTCATGGGCCCGAGACAAGAGGCGACTATTGTGAGTTGCGACTGTGCGAGTTGTTCAACGGTGACCGCTATGCGTCAGTCCGAATACACCGTGTTTGCGAGTTGCCAGGTCGGTCTTTGGTCAGCGGTGACAGCAACATGGGGCCACAGCGGATTCTACCAGTCAATACCAGGACAGATGATGGAAAGATGAGACAGAACTGGAGAAGAAAGTAGAACAAAAACAGGACGGGAAAACTGAGGCGAGGCGGGTTAATGTGTCGTCAGGTTTGCAAGATCCGGCTGTGGGCCGGCGTGGTTGGTTATATGGCGTCGCAAAAGTCGTCGAAAGCAGGCCGGGCCAGAGCAGAGAGGCAAGGACATGGACATCCGGGGTGACAGTGTCAATCCATGGTCTCTACCAGCCTCTAGCTCCATGCCTACTTGGTTGCTCTCTGCCCTTTTGCCTGTCTTCTGCGCCGCGGCTCCTTTGCCGGAGCCGTTCTAAGCTGAGCCAAGGCCACCAAAGGCCCGCCGTCCGCCGTTCATCACGTCGCATCTCCCCTCTCAACCCTCCTCCGCCTAACCGCTCTCCTCCCTGTACGTCTGTAATGTGTGTAAGGGAGTCACAAAATCTTCTCCAAATACCCCATTCGCGACGAAAACCGTTGCCCAATCTCGCAAGCGCTGCGACGACAAACATGGATGCATCCAACTAGACCATCGCCGATGGGACGGTGTTCCTTCCTAGCGCCGCTGCCACGCTTGAAGCACATCGCGCTATGAGGCAATGGACTCCATTTATCGTGAGAGGATGCGCGTTGAACGACATGCGTTGTGAGACGAACCAGGTTCTTCATTCGTCCGATATTCCATGGCCGGCATGCGTCGATGGATATGCGCTGCATCCGCCTTTGGGATTGGGTATTGATCGTACACCACAAATTCCCCATCTCCAACTACCATGGCCATTGGCACTTTGCGTTGCCTACACCGCAAGAGGCTGAATCCCACTGCATTAATTAATTCTTCAACGGCCTCCCCGGCTATGGAGTTTCTCTTGTTCGGCCTCATAGGGATACAAGCCATCCCTGATTGACACGAATCGGCGTCTCAACCCCATCGGGTTCTTTGGAAACCCAGAGTATCGTAGACTTGATAGAGTCGAGACCTTTGAAAGCTGAAATATCGGTACAGATCTGTCAACTGTACCTCACCGGGTTAGGTTCACCAAGTCTCCAGGGGTTTGCGTTTCCTTGGCTAGAGCCGTGCCGACTTGGGAGTGGTTGGTTTTCCAGTTGGGTAAAAACGACCCCGGGTCAATTTCAACTCGCATGCGGCGTTCCTTGGATGTTGATACTGCAAAAACTGCAAGGCTCCGTTCAATGAAATTTCGCACTCAACCACGCTCCTCTTGCTCTCATTTATCTCATAACAAAACGCAGCTGCTATGTGTGTCGCAATCCAATTCTCGTCGCAGCACTGCGGCGAGGCTTCATGACGATCCAAGCCGGACTGGGGCTTGCGGGGGCGGGCATTCTGCAAGTGCCCGAGCGATCTGCGGTTCCTCTTCGCGCCAGTGAGCGTGTCTGCCCACCACATTTCAAGACCCGTTGGACCCTGAGCGACGATCACCGACATGTAAATCGAGTCGACGTGAGAGAAAACTGCAAAGCGCGGACGTGGCGATGCGCTAGCATCGCCATGATCGATGCTGTCCATCGACATTGTTTGGCAACAAGAATCTGGGCAGTATCGATGGCAGCGGCAAACTCTGCGTACTGAGGATGCTTGTCATTTCTCGAAAACGTAGGCGGATAGCTATCTGGACGCTGCATCCCGCGAAAGTTCACCGCTTCAGTTTAAGGTTCCGCGAAGACGGGCCTCGATGCGGAAGACCCATAGAATCCACTGTCTGTAGCAGGCATGTGTCCGGTGACCAGGTGAAACAGGCACATGGAGCTCGGGTTGCGGCTACTTCGATACTTTGACGAAGTAAAGCTCCTACGAAGATGTGAAGTTGAAGGTTGATGTCAGGCCTGGAAAGGTTTTTGAGAAGATGATTTGATTCCGACCACACTGATTCCCATGTTGCACTGAAGTGGTTGAGTGGCTGGGCATAGACCCGGCATACCCTGCCGAGTTTCTGCCGAGTTCAACTACACCGCCCACTAGCCGGGTCTAGCGCTGGTGCACGGACCATCACACCACACCGAGCATCTCCGACACTCACTCATCCGCATCTTCACAGGACACACATGAGATTCCTCACCAAGTCTCACCAACAAAGCGAGATAACCCGCATTTTGAACCCTCCTTTCATCAATAAATAATGGCGAAGTGCCAGAGTGGTTAATGGGTTTGACTCGAATTAACTCTGCATTTTCAGAGCCTTCCATCAAATGGCTTCGGCCGCGCAAGTTCGAATCTTGTCTTCGTCGTTTCCTTTTGTTTTTTCCACACACACATTAGTTGTGTCTTTTTATGAGTATTGACTCATACTTTAGGCTTTCCCGAACGTATTCTCTCATTTAGACTCATATTTTGAGTGAGGAAGGTGTTGGTCGCGCCTATGGTTGCACCCACGCACACCAAAAATTCGATCAACACATTGGGATGCCTGATAAGGGATAACATGGTAAGAGCAGTTTGGTAAGGGTTTTGCAATAATGCCAGTGGCAGGATATCATTTAGAACGTCGAGACAAAGTCTGGACACGAAATAGATTTTACGAAATGGGGGATATCGTGAAGGGTATGTCAAAAACAAACTTCCAGCCCAGGTTCAACCAGCATCCGTCGCAACACATCAACACCCAAAATTACCGTTTTTCTCCTTTCCCCATCTCGGCTTGCTTTTCCGACAGGCAGTCTTTTCCTTTTTACTTCTTGTGGAAGGGCGCGAGGATCTTGGCCTTGAGCTTGTCGGCGACGCTGACGCCCGAGTGGCCGTCGGCACGAGCCTGCGCAGCGGCCTTCTTCTCGTGGTCAATGTCCTTGTGAGCGGCTGACTTATCCGTCTCGACGGCGTTGCCCGCACCGCCTCGGCCGACGTGGTAGTCCTGACCCTCCATGGAGGGGCGGTAGGCCTCCTCGGGGATGAGGTCCTTGTCGGAGCGCGGAGCGGGCTCCTTCTTCGCGTCGCCAATGTTACCGGCACCTGGAGGGCAGGGCGCAACCAGTTAGCCTACAGAGCACGAAGCGTTTGACTATGAACGAGTTGCGACAGCTAAAGACATCGTGGGGTGGAGAGTGAGTGATCATGGCCAGGGGCGGAGGATCGGCCAAGTGGACGAATGCGCCGATGCCGCTTGGCGGGCTGGGTGATAAGGCGATGCGCTGGGCGCACTCGTCCCGCGTCAAGACTCACCTCCTCGACCTGCGCTGAATGCGCCAGTTCCCTGAGACCCCTCGGGGCCTGCTCTCACGACCTCGCCGTCGACGTACTGGGTGTCGTCAACGGCCATGTTTCCGGCGCCACCTCTTCCGTGAGATACTTCGGCAGTCATCGTGGTCGAGTTTAAGGTGTGATGTAGGGTGTGTGGTTCGTGAGCTTCAGTGAGTGAGTTCGTAGTGGGATGAGTTGAGTGGGAATGTCTTTCGGAGAAAAACACCGTGGGTGCGCAACTTTATTTGAGCAACTTTGCAAGATGGGACGAGAGAATAACAAATCGAGAACAGGTACGTCAGCGATATTATATATAGATAAGGCACCTGTTCCTGGCAGTTCTCTACCATACATCACATCATATGGTAAGGTAAGATAAGTTAAGCACATCTACTTATCAGTGAGTGTGAGTGATCACCTAGTAGGGATACCTCCCCCGCCCCCCAAAGCTAAGGTTATCTCTCTGACAGAAGTCAACCCATCCACGAACCTGGGAGGCAGCTCATCAAGCCTGCGACTGAATGCGGGATGTCTAGTGTCTTGGGGGCCGCTGGGCGTGGGGATTACAGGTAGGTGATACTCCTGGTGAGCCAAGGTTTCCTCCATCTCTCTTCGAGAAGCACTTGCACATGCTTGAGAGCTGATCCCCCCTGCCTCCACGGCACAACGGTACTTCCACACACATGGCATACTAGGACAAGCCAACCAACGGCTCGATGAGACCATCAGCGAATGGCAGCAGCCTCTGCTCTGATAAAAACTTTTGGTTTACGTACCTGGATTTCGTGAGAGCTCTGGGAACATTACGCATTAGCATCAGCCCAGCGCTAGCCTCCAGTGAGCGCCGCCATCGGCATTCATTCCTGTTTCTTCGGGATCATTTTGCGCGACCAACATAGATTCTGGATTTAGCATGCGTCGCCGTCACTCATTGACTTTCGGGTGTGCTGGTAGTACGCTCATTGTCGGCGCCATCTGACCATCGGTCACTTTACGTCCCAGGAAGAGCAGCCTCCAGGACTGAACGGTTTGTTATTGAGAGCTAAACCTTCTCATCATAACCCCGTTCCCTGTCTACTGATGTTCGGTGGATGTCGTCATTGCCCCTCACCTGTTTATTTGCAGTGTCCCCGGTACAGCCAGTCGCGCAATTTGATCAGTCAAGAGGGCGACAATATTGTCAACGAGACGTTCTACCTCATCACTTGGCCCATTCGCATCCAAAAACCGAGTCGAGTGAGTGGGGAAAGCTGAGATAATTCAAGGGAACGACCAATTCATATGACTGGCACTGGGACCGGCCCAAATACTCATTGCGCGCTCAGGATATTTGTAAACTGGAGTCGAGTCGACTTAACCCTACCATTCGCTGAAGCCATTCGTTCAACTGACTGCTTGCTGAGGCGCCAGAAGGAAAGGGATGCGACTTTATCAGAGTAAACAAAAAAACGAGGAAAGTTATAACCCACAGCCTCAGTCCTGCTTTTTAGAATCAGTTCTAAGAACTCGACTTTTTAGTACTAGCATTTTCACTACAGCTGTCTTCATTGCCCCTCTTGCTGACATAGATGTCACTGTAACTGTCCTCTCTGACTCATTTTCTCCGTATATTCTCCGTAGAATATGTTTTTAGAGACCTTGGAAAGTCGTGACAATGGAGCTGGTAGTGATGAGAGGGGGGTCTGTTGTGCCCTGCCCGGTGCTGGCCTCGCTGGAGGAGGCGGCTGCGGCATCATAGCCGACACATCACAGAGTTGGTGAAGTTTAAGATTTTTACTCAAGGCTCGCCGGTGATGGCACTCGATCATGATCATTTTGTGGTCTTGGGGCAAATGATGCATCGAAAGGTGCCATGGCGTCTAGCTGCTTATTCGTAGTAGAACAGCGGTCCAAAGTCGGCTTTCTAGACACCGGAGCAGTCAAAAGCGCATGGTTTCTGACTACAATGGCTTCAATCACTGAGCTTATGAGACATCTCTCTATCTAACTTCAAACTTATGCGGCAGCTTGCCCGCCCCCTCTTCTCGAAGAAAGACACCACAGCAGTGATACCGAAATGAGAGGCAGCCTTGTGAAATATCAGCCGGTGGGTAGCATTGATGCATGTCAGCCCTAGCTACAGTTACGATTGGCCGCAGACAGATGGCTAGCTGAGGCGATGCACCACGATACCATTTCTCCGCTGTTATATGAAGCTTACCTTCGCCCCATGCTTGCGCTCGTGGGAGGGGTATCTTCAACCTTGCTTCCAAGACCTACATTCCGTGCGAGATGGATCCCATCACCGCCCTAACGAGTGCCGTCGAACTTTTTGGCGTCGCCCGCCAGATTCAAAGCCTGGTGGAAAAGTACAAGAACGCACCCAAGGCTGTACACGAGATCATTGTAGAGTGCAACTTGACGAAAGATGTGTGTCTCAATCTGAAGAAACAAGTCTCACAGACCGATGTTCTCAAAAACCCGGTCAAAAACAGTACTGAGGATGGGTTGCGGAACCTGCTTGATACGTGCATGGATAAATTGACGAAGACGCTCAAAGATTTGGAACGAGAACTCAGCAAGGTGCAGAGCAAAAGCGACTCGCGCATGGGGAAGTGGGACAAGGCGAAGTTCTTATGGAAGGAGGAGATATTTTCGGATGCTGCGCAAAGTATCCAAGATCAGAAAGCCCGCCTTGGTATTGTCATTCAGCTATTGCAAGTGTACGTACTCAAGCCAGACGCTGATCAAAATAAAGCCACACACTGACAAGTCATAGGCGTACTGGTCAAGAAGTAAAGGAGGGCGTCAATAATGTACAGAAGGGGGTCGACACTCTTCGAGAGGAGGTTAGAGAAATATTGACCGAATTTCTGAAAAGGCAAAACCCACCTCACCTGGGTTTACAGCCACCGCAGGAGCTGAAGAAGAGTAGATCAGATACTCAGATCAACACAACAGGCAAGCGATTCGCTGACGACCTCTTTGTCGCCGTCCGAGGAGGGCGGCTTGAGGACCTTGAGCCCATTCTGGCCCAAGGCGTCTCTGTAAACATAGCTCTAGGAGACCGCGGTGACCGGGCCATTCATGTTGCTGCTCGCGAGGGGTTTCTGCTCGTCCTGGACCGGCTTATTGCTTCCGGAGCAGACGTCAATGTCCAGAATGCGCTTCAGGATACAGCCTTGCACCAAGCGCTCAATCGAGGACAGATTCCCACTTCGTTGGCGCTGTTGTCGAGCGGGGCCAGTTGGAAGATCAGGAATGCCAACGGAACTACGCCGCTACACACAGCCGTGAGGAGTTCTGCATATCTTGTTGTGCAGTATTTGCTCGATAAGGGGGCAGACGCAAATGCTCGAGACAAATGGGGTCAGACTCCCCTTTATAAGGCATGCATCCCCCCGGAGAAGGATAAGAAAAATGACTTTGTCATCAACCTGAAAATCATTCGATTACTCGTCGAGCGAGGAGCAGATCCAACGCTTGGGGCTTGGAAAACCGGCAGAACTCCGATTCACGGGCTTGCGTCCAGTGGGCACGCAAAGGAGCTCGAGATCTTGACCAAGGAGGCCAAAACTCTCGAACTACCGCTGACAGGAGACTCTCAGGGCGAAACGCCGCTCCTCGTTGCGGTCAAGAACAAACACTCAGGCGCCGTAGACGTTCTGCTCAAACGTGGAGCCAACGTGAATGCGAGAGAGACTTCAAAAGACGGTACAGCGCCGACTGCCCTGTGGTACGCCGCATGCAACCCGGATCTAGGCACCGCGATCAAGCTTCTCGAAGCTAGCGCAGATCCTAATGCAAAGAGCAATGGCATGACTCTTCTTCATCTTGCGGCGACGAAGCATTGGCTTGAGCTGGCTAAGCTGTTGATCAAATACAAGGCCGATCTGGATGCCAAGTCATCTAGCAACGATACACCTCTCCATACGGCAGTCTGGGCCAAGGACTTCCCGATAGTTCGTCTTATGCTAGATAATAGGGCCAACGTAGAGGCAAAGGGGAGCAGCAAAGCGACTCCGATCATGGCAGCTGCGCAGACCGGCTCGCTGCCAATGGTCAGGCTTCTTCTTAAGAATGGAGCTCAGTGGTCTTACTTGACGCCTCAAGGCACAAATGCGTTTGTCTGGTCATTGAGCGGCGGAAGCGCTGTATGCGCGAGCTTCTTTCTCGGATGTGGCCAGAATTTGCACCACAAGGCCGAGGGGAATTACACTGCGCTGCACTATGCGGCGAGGACAGGCAAAATGGAGTGCGTCAAGTTGCTTCTAGAGCTGGGTATCGATAAGCAGGTCATGCCGACGAAGTCGCGGGTACCTTTCAAGGTCAAGGGGACGGCAGCTGAAGTTGCGAGGGCGCATGGGGCTGTTGACGTGGCTGAGTTCATTGAGAGCTATAGGGGCGAGTAGTGTATTGAGATGATCACGAGTATTGTTCGAAGTAGCCCCTGGATTCTTGCTTATATCGAATCACGGAATGAGATGTAAGTGGCGGAGCCGGGCGTTTCCTTGTACATTGAAATGCTGTCAGACTGTTGGATATTTGTCTTGATCTGAACGAGAACAAGCCCTCAGCTTGATTTATCATCCTTGATACGCCTTAGACTCTACCAAGGAACCAACAATGCTCGTTGAGATGGCGATGGATGGTAAATCTCGTTTGTATCGAAAGATGTGAAGGGATGGAAGTAGATATTCGATCAGGCAGGCTATGGCTTTCGTCGAAGAAACTGCTAAAAAGCAAGAAACGAGTGTTTCCAGTTCATTCTGCATGGGACAGTGAAGTTTGACTTCACAACACCAATCAGTGCTTTCTCATCTTACAATTCATTTGAATCTCAATCGAAGATGCAAATACTCAGCCATCACAAGAGGGTCAATAAGCTATGCGTTCGAGTGAGAAGGCTCAAGTTAGAAACACGCAAGTCTGGTCAAGAGACTTCCCAGGGAGGCAATCATCACAAGGAGTACCTTGACTCTGAGCCCATGATGATTCGCCCCCTTTGAGCTGGCCATCCTCACCACTAACCATACGGGCCCTGATGCCCAGAACGGTGTGAAAGGCGGGTATCGACAAATACCCACCCTACCTAGTTTCAACATCAACACTCTCTTTTCAGCTTGTTTCTTTTTGAGCTGCCTTTTCTTCCTCGTACATGGTCTCTCTCTCAAATCATGGCTGTGGTAAACAATCAACCGCGGCACGCTATCAACAACTTCATCAGTGAGTCTTGCTCGGATTGTTCCATCATTCTCAGTATCTTTGAAACATCAGAACTAAACGCGCAGCAGGACAGACACACTCAGCTCCCTTTCCATTCAAAAACGAGAAACACAGCTGCTCGGTATTTTGAGAGCGAATTCCACTATCGACACTGCCACACGCATCAAAGTCTTCGCCATGGACTATTTCAACCAGCAACAGAAGATTGATGACGCGCAACTCATAGCGACGATGCTAGTGTACATGACCATCGGTCGTGACATTATCACCGCCCTCATCGTGGTCTTGGCTCTCCGCTCCGCCATCGTGGGAGGCACAACGACCTTGACGCTTCGCTACTTCATGATACTCTTTGTCCGCCACATTATCATCTATGCGACCGAGGTTCCCTACATCATCCACAAGAAGAGACGGACCAGCTTCTGCCGCCGGTATCAACTACCACGCAACGTCGCAAGATTCGGCTCCTTCTCCTACCTCTGTATGCAGTTCAGCCTACTTGCCGTCGAGGCACGCCTATTTCGACTTTGGCGCCAGCATCGGCTCAATGGGGGCGCCAATGTACTGGGTACCAGTGTGGCGTTGGCGGCTATCATCACTTCTATCACCGTTTATATGGTGCGCCAGGCGTACATCAAAGTGCGCTTCCACTGGGAGCTCATGCGTAGCAGCCGTCGGGCCGTCGAACGAGGTCCCAGCGATGTGGAAATCATTGTCTATGCTACAGAGCACTGATGAGTCCTTTGCACTCAGTTATGAATGGGCTTTCGCATGCTTGTACGAAGCTCGGACTGTGATGGAGATGCCTGGCTTTGGGTAAAGGTACATGGGAAGACTGGGAAACGGGACGAAAGAGGACTTGATTGAATTGAATGTGACTCCCTGAATCGCGGACATGGTCGCACTTGGCTTGTAGATTAGTAGCAAAACACCTTATCCTTAATCAAAACTGTGAGACATTCTCTTTATAAGAACATCGTGCTCAGGGATGGTTGCCTCTTTATGTATTTCTAGGAATGTCATTACATCGGAGCTAAGACCAAACACTTTAATCTTTTGGAAGGAGCACGTGACTTCGCGACGCACTTCAAAAGACCCCGCGATTTTCGTGTTTTAGTCAGTCATAGCCCCAACGTCATTACTTTTTGACCATTTCACCCCTTGTCCAAACTTCGCCTCCAGACTTCGCCTCCAGATTCCGCCCCCGACTCGTGCAGCTTAATGCAAGTGTAGATGGCGGTCTCGACAGAACTTGCAACATCAAAACCCTCCACAATCCGGATTTCTTGAGAAGGGCACCCCTTCACTGTGCATTTGTGGCAAAATGGGCCCTCCATCATCGGCATCGCGGAAGAGGCCTACGACGACTCCCAAAAAACCGTTGACCAGGTTGCCTCCTTCGAAGAAGCCTACAGGAAAACCCAATGCTAGCATTCTAAGCTTCTTTCAAAAGGCCGAAAAGCCTGAGCAGACGTTGTTCATTGACGGCCACGAAAAGCTCGTTGTTCCCCAAAAGGAAGATGATGAGGTACCAGAGATATACGATGCCGAACCATGGGAGGAGGAGGAGAGGTTTAATGAGGTTGAGGTACCAAACAAGAAGCGGCGGCTAAGCCAAGAGCCTGAGAACAACGAAGGGGAACAATCAGCCGCAAGAGATTCCAAGAGCCCTGTGGTGTCCGAACCACCACCATCATCACCCGCAGGGAGGCTTTCTAAGAAGGTGGCCACTAAGCGGAAAGGCCCCTTTCTCGACGAATCTGACAGTGAAGAAGAAGAAACAGCCCCGACAGCTCGGAAACCAAGTCTCATCGGTGCTATTCGCAGTCGACCGCCCATCGTCCCACCGGTCAAGTCGGAGGACGACGCGATGTCTCCGTCAACGAAGCAAGATAATGTTGCTACGCCGTTAGTTCAGCTGAAGGAGGAAGAAGAGGAGGCAAAACCGCCAGCGACGGAAACGAGCTGCCCGCCACCGCCATTGAAGGTTGAGGACTCGATCGACGCCGAATTTGCAAATGTTGACGACTTTGGTGACTTAGAAGATTTCCCCAACGACGAAGATTTCGGCGGTGAAGAGTATCGCATGATGCAGTTTATGGAGGAGCAAGCCCGTTTGGAAGCAGAAGCCGAGGCTGCGGATACGGGCGACTATTCTTGTGACGAATTAGCCGATCCCGTGCGGCCTAGCGATGCCATGGTGGCCAACTGTCCCATCTGCGACGGCACACTCGCTGGTATTACAGCTGACGAAGCAACACGGCATGTAAATGCCTGCCTCGATGGCAACCCAATACCACTACCCGAACCCAAAGAGGCAAAGAAAGTCAAAGACGAAATCGCCAGACCGCCAATTCTCGAACCCCCCGAAGTAAACAAACGACTCGCGCGCGCAGCAGTACCACGACAGGGCCAAGCCAACCCATTCAAGCTGAGCGAAGTCCAAAATAAGTCGACTTCTGCCTTCACCAAATTGATGTCCGGCCATGCTGAAGACGCTGCGTGGGCCGGTGCCGCTGCTGCAGAGCATTCATCACGTGGGAAGCCCGCGTATCAACGGACCTGTCCTTTCTATAAGATCATGCCTGGTTTCTACATATGCGTAGATGCATTCAGGTACGGTGCGGTTAAGGGATGCAATGCCTATTTCTTGAGCCATTTTCACAGCGATCACTATATCGGCTTGACTTCCACCTGGACGCACGGCCCAATCTACTGCAGCAAAGTCACCGGAGACTTGGTCAAGATGCAATTGCGAGTTGCTGCTAAGTGGGTTGTTGCTCTAGAGTTCAATCAGACAGAGGAGGTCCCGGGCACCGAGGGTGTGACGGTGACTATGATCCCTGCCAACCACTGTCCCGGCAGCTCCCTATTTCTGTTTGAGAAAACAATGGGAAAGGGGCCAAATGCGAGAAAGCAAAGAATCTTGCATTGCGGCGACTTCAGAGCCTGTCCAGCTCAGGTTGCTCATCCTTTACTCAAGCCCGACATACAAGATTCGGTATCAGGCAAACTCAAGCAGCAAAAGATTGATGTCTGTTACTTGGACACGACCTACCTCAACCCTCGCTACTCTTTCCCCCCTCAGAACGACGTCATCAAGGCATGCGCAGACATGTGCAAGTCACTTGCCCCGGACCAGACGTCAGAAGACAACACGTGGGACAAGATCAATAGAGAGGCTGGCACGGAAACGGTCAGCAAGTTCTTCACGAAGACAAATGCGGACGACGCTACTGCAAAGGCGAAGAAGAAAAATGCACCAAAGGAACGTCTCCTTGTCATCTGCGGTACTTACTCAATTGGCAAGGAGCGGATTTGCAAAGCTATTGCACAAGCTCTAGGGAGCAAAATATTTGCATCCAAGTCGAAGATCCGTATCGTGTCCAAACTCGGAGACCCAGAGCTGACGGCACTTATGACGGATAATCCGCACGAAGCTCAGGTTCACATGCAAATGCTGATGGAAATCCGCGCCGAGACACTACAAGAATACCTCAATGGATACAAGCCGCATTTCAGTCGTATCGTAGGATTTCGTCCTTCCGGCTGGAACTACCGTCCCCAAGGTGCCAGCAAGGCGGTGACAGCTAGCACTCAACCTGGCACGATTCCGATGACACAGATTCTTCAAGGCAAGGCTTGGCGGCCTCGGTTTGGGGCAAAGGATTTCGTGGCGCAACGCGGCAGCACGAAGGAAGCCATGTGCTTTGGAGTGCCATACAGTGAGCATAGCAGCTTCCGGGAGCTGACCATGTTCGTGATGTCCCTGCGCATTGACAAAGTAGTACCCACGGTCAATGTCGGCAGCGAAGTATCGAGGAAGAGGATGAAGGGCTGGATCGATAAATGGCTGTCTGAGAGGAGAAAGGGCGGACTCGTCCATCCTCTCGAAGGCGAAGAGGGCGAGGGTAAAGAAGTTGCACTGTGGAACGGCAAAGACAGCCGTGGAGGAGGCGTCTGGTGGTGATTGCTTGCTTCATCAGAATAGCATGATGAATAATGAATGCCGTGGCGGTCGGGCGCAAGTCTCGTTGATTATTTGATTTGTTCCGGAGATCTCTGTCTGGATATTATATCCCCTCTGTTCATACTCCATAGTACGCTGCCACACCAGGTCTTGCCAGACGCCAAGAATATCGCTGAGCACGTGTACCTGGTTGTGAGGCTTGGGCTTCATTCCACCACATGCGAGGACCGGCTTTTTCAGTGCCCCGGCCATATCGCCATGATACAAACGCGTCATTTTGAACTCCTCCGACCATTCAACCAATAGCCTATTTCGCCTTTGCGGCCTGAGCAGCAGCCTCTGTGATAGCGTTAGCGCTGTCCCCAAACCTGCGATGATGTGATAAAAACGCAAGACTCACCTCTGCGCGTCGCGTCCTCCAGGAGGGGCACGTCTACTGAGCCAGCAGGCAAGTGAACATAACGAACGACGGAGCCACGGATGAAGACATTCTTGACCGAGCTCTGCATACTTTCGTTAGCGACATTCTCCAGGCTGACTCTCCGGCCGAACAAGGGTACGTGAGAGCCTGGGTGCAGGGGGAGGGGCAGGCGGCAGACGGACCAGATGCGGGTACTTGAGCTCCTCGACGACGGAAATCTCTTCCAGCTTGATGTTGAGGTACTGGTCGACGCTCTTGAGGATGCCGCGGATCTGGATGTCGTTCTTGAGCTCGACGGTGACCTCGTGGTCGATGAGCGTCTTGAAGAAACTAGTGGGCGTAACGTCAGTGACTGCATCACCCACCGTGCGCGGAGCGCACACTCTAGGCTTGAATGCATATGAAATATCGCGTTCCCCGAATGAGTTTTGAGACTTACCTGAAGAAGAGCATGGTGGGCGGTTGAACTGGATGCTGGGGTGTGATGAGCCGCTCAGTAAGGTCGTGATGCTCTTGATTGAGTGCGAAGAGGTGTGGGGGCTTGCATACTGTGTGTTAGTACAGTGTGCACGGCTGTATCAGTATTGGGCTTCATCATTGATCGCACTGTGATGTGGCTTAGCCCTTGTGGCTGACGGCTTCCGCTAGAGCCAGTTCTGTGGTGGCAACTGGCCACTGAATCAGCCAGTCCGTTCAGGGGAAGAACTCGCAAAGTGATCAGCCTCAGCGGCGACTTTCATTCAACTTCATGTAACTCGCACACCTTCATATCGGGTAATCTAGTTTTCTGTTCTCTTTTTGTTCCAAGACTTGGTACCTTCTAGAGACACCGTCATTCGTTAAGGTGACCCTACGGAAAGCTTGGTCTCTGAAAACAACAAGTTATGTCTGTGGTCAGGGTGACTGAATGGCGGAAACTGCCACTTAGTCTGGCTGAGCTATGCATCGACACGACTCTTCGATGTGGCCAGTCTTTCCGATGGCGTAAAGTCAATGACATGTGGTCAGTCAAACTGAGCTCTTTGTACAATGATTCAATTCCGCTAAGATTTCATTCAGGTGCTGCACGTTGTATGGTCGAATCGTGTCATTAAAGCAAGATTCAACTCACTTGCATTACAAGGTCACTTGGCCTACGAAACCAACTTATCCGCTCACCCCTCCAAATTTTGATAGCGAAGCTAGTGAAGATGACACAGAGGAGTTACTACGGCATTATCTGAGCCTCAAATTGGACCTCAAGTCCCTATACGAGGAATGGTCGAAAGCGGATCCCAACTTTCGCAAGAGGGCCCCAGAGTTTGGAGGTGTTCGCATGCTGAGCCAAGACGCATGGGAGGCTCTGATATGCTTTATCTGCAGTAGCAACAATAATATTGCCAGGATATCACAAATGGTAAGGACTGCTGCAAAGTGGAAAAGGCAACCCAGGACTTACACTTGGCCAGGTTCACAAGCTGTGTCTACACTACGGCCCGCTCATTGGCAAGATTGGGGATGAAACATTTCACGATTTCCCATCACCCGAGGCATTGACGGGAAGCTCAGTAGAGGCGCATCTGAGGGAGCTCGGGTTTGGCTATCGCGCAAAGTACATCGCGCAGACGGCTTCCATTGTGGTCAATGACAGGCCAAAGGGATGGTTCGAGAGCCTTACCAATCCAGAGAACCCATGCTACGTCAGAACAACCGAGGGATGCAAGCTGCCCCAGTGTACATACAAAGAGGCACATGAACAGCTGCTCCAATTATCGGGCGTAGGTCCCAAGGTGGCCGATTGCGTCTGCCTGATGGGCCTGGGCTGGGGTGAGGCCGTGCCGGTGGACACGCACGTCTGGCAGATTGCTCAGCGAGACTACAAGTTTGGCAAGACAAAGACCAAGACGTTCAACAAGGCGATGTACGATGCTGTGGGAGACCATTTTAGGGAGCTCTGGGGTAAGTACGCCGGCTGGGCACACTCTGTGCTCTTCACGGCGGACCTCAAGACCTTTTCTGGACGGACAGTGAAGCAGGAAGAAGAACAGGCAGTGACGGTGAAGAAGGAGGTAAACGTTGACCAAGAAATGCCCATTTGGGGCCAGAAACGCAAGGTTATGAAGACGAAGGTTAAGGTGGAGGTTGAACATGGAACGCCCGGCACAGGCCTGCTAGAATCATCGCCGAAGCGAAGGAGAACACGATCGCAGGCTCGGAAGATGAACTGATATCTCTGGTAATACAACTCGTCATGCATGATATGAGCAACATCCTGCCAAGTTATCTACTGACCTACCTATCCTCTTATCCCCGGCAGTATCTTGACGCAGAGACAAGGCTTTGCAGCATTAATGTTCCGGCGCCTATAGACAAATTTAATCAAAACTGTAAAATAATGCCTCTACGATTTAATACAGGTGAAATCTAGAAGGAAAATGTTCTTTGTTGATCATCGGTCGCGGATGCTCCGAGGTTGAGGTGCAGATGCTCCAGCCTTGGCGTTCTCGGCTAAAATTCGGGTGCCCAAATTCTGGTGGCGTCGCCGACAGCAAAGCTTTTGCCTGCGCAGATTGCAAACTCTCCTGCGAACCGGCCATTTGCTACCCCCTTCAGCCTCATCAGCAACACAACAACCATTACTGATGCGCGCCGCCATCGTCGATCGCCCACTTGCATCTTCAAGTGACATGAAGCAACCTTGCCCATAATTCAAAATGTCCGACGCAGACTTCGAGACTGTCCGGAAGCTCCAGGCGGAGCGCAACGCTGCCGCCGCTGCGAAGAAGGGTTCGACCACTTTCGACCCGAACAATCAACGTGCCGACGCCGGCACTAAGCAGAAACTCACCGATAGCTTCGACACTGATCTGTACGATCGAAATGGCGTCGACAAGTTTGCCGGATACAACACGTCCATCCCGGCCGGCGATGACGATGACGATGAGATGGAAGGCGCCGACAACACGCGACGTCTCGTCGGCCAGTACACGGCATCGCGTGAAATGATTGACGAGTTTGCACGCGGCGATGGCGTCGAAGAGGATGATCCCTTGGCTGGCCGGGGCGAGAAAAGCAACAGGATTACCGATCGCGAGACAGATTACCAGAAACGCCGATTCGATCGCGGTCTCTCCCCTTCCCGAACCGATGCCTTCGCCAACGGAGACAACAAGAATGGCGACAGCTACCGCGAGATCATGCAGCGGAGAGAGCTTGAAAGAGAAGAGGAACGCGTCGCAAGGGAAATCCAGGCCAAGGCCGCGAGGGGTCCCGAGGAAGACGGCAACGTCGCCCCAGCGACTCTGAGGGACGACGATAAGGAAAATGCGGAAGCTGGCTCTACCGATGCTGTCTCTTCTGGGAGGAAGCGCAAGAAGAGGTGGGATGTCGCGACCACGACAGCTGACGAGGAAGCAGCTCAGCCCTCTGAGCCGGCAAAATCGAAGCGCTCGCGTTGGGACCAGGCCCCCTCTCTGGAGCCCGCAGATGCACCAAAGAAACGGTCGAGATGGGATCAGGCCCCTTCGGCCACTCCAATGGGTAACCAGGGTCTCGCCACGCCAATGCACCCGTCGCAGGCGGGAAGCGCAGCCTTGCCTACGACTTTCGGTACGGATATCTCAGGACGCAACGCGCCCATCAGTGACGAAGAGTTGGATGCGCTTCTCCCGGGCGAGGAACAGGGATACAAGATTCTCGAGCCACCGCCAGGATACGCTCCCATTCGCGCGCCTGCTCATAAGCTCATGGCTACGCCAGCACCGCAGACTGGGTTCATGATGCAGGACCCTGACGCCGTCAGGTTGAGCGGAAAGCCTGTGCCGGCAGAAATCCCGGGCATTGGTGACCTGCAGTTCTTCAAGGCTGAGGATATGGCGTACTTCGGTAAGCTGACCGATGGCTCTGACGAGAACAGCTTGAGCGTGGACGAGATGAAGGAGAGGAAGATCATGAGGCTGCTCTTGAAAGTCAAGAATGGTACTCCACCGATGCGTAAAACTGCTCTGAGACAACTCACCGACAATGCCAGACAGTTTGGAGCCGGTCCGCTCTTCGACCAGATTCTTCCTCTGCTCATGGAGAAGACTTTGGAAGACCAGGAGCGTCATTTGCTCGTCAAGGTCATCGACCGTATTCTCTACAAGCTCGATGACTTGGTGCGGCCATATGTCCACAAGATTTTGGTCGTTATCGAGCCGCTGCTTATCGACCAAGACTACTACGCCAGAGTTGAAGGTCGTGAGATCATTTCCAACCTTAGTAAAGCGGCTGGTCTAGCCACCATGATCAGCACGATGAGACCAGACATCGACCATGTTGACGAGTACGTGCGAAACACCACTGCAAGAGCGTTTGCCGTTGTAGCGTCCGCCCTCGGTATTCCGGCCTTGCTGCCTTTCCTTCGCGCAGTTTGTCGCAGCAAGAAGTCATGGCAAGCCCGTCATACCGGTGTCAAGATTGTGCAGCAGATTCCTATCCTAATGGGCTGCGCCGTCCTTCCGCACCTTAAAGGCTTGGTCGACTGCATCGGCCCCAACCTGAACGACGAACAGACCAAGGTCAGGACAGTCACCAGTTTGGCTATTGCCGCGCTTGCCGA